AAAAAAAAAAAAAAAGTTTATATAGATTTGGAACATCACATAAAACCAGGACCTCAATCTGGTAATCACCTCAACCATATTCAATTTTCAAAGGGTGAAAAAAGTTACCTGTGTTATGATTAGATATCAGTCTTTTGTATTGTATGTTTAAAATATACTCACTTTATGTAATCACATTAATGAAGATAGCACTTAATATATTTGAATCATCTCTAACAAGGTAAATTTTGAGTAAATTTGTAATAAATACTAGAAATTATTAATTACAATGGAGCTTTTAATTGTGAAACATTCTTGTAAAGTTTTTTCAGAAATTCTTTGTTACAGAACAAAATTATTCTCTAAAAATGATGTTCTTTTTAAGAGTATATGTAACATTACTCTGATATGACTGTTCTGGAAAGATTAAAAGTTTTAAAATGCAAAGCATAGTCACCCAGAAATTTTTTTTAATGTATGATTGCTGGTGTAGTTTTCTGCAGAAATAACAGGATTTTGCAACAGAAACAAGCCAGTGGCTTACATGTTCTGAAATGCACTGGATTGAAACCTACTAAATGAATCATTGTTGGTAAATAATGTCAAGATAGGAATGGGCTATCATTTTGTCTGTGGAAAGTCTATCTATATAACAATCATCCATTTGTTAGACTACATGTTTTAGACAGAAACATTGCAATATCTGAATAATACCAATGGTAGGGAGATCAATTTTAAAAATACTTGGATAAGCCTTCTCTTCATACTTATTATGAAAGATGGAATAATTTGTTAATATAGCAATCAAACCGATTCAATGATCCTTGTTAATTTTTTAATAAGGAAGTTATAGAAATGAGGCAGTTTAATTTATATTCAAATAGTATTGTTTAAAATCATCATTTAGAAACTATATAAAATATGTCATTAGTTTCAAATATCAATGTATTTATAAGATCCTCATTCAAGCATAGGCCATTTATCTTTCCTTGAGATGGATAGTGAGTAGTTGGTCTCCAGACCTTAATTATAATACCAATTCATAATATAGTCATACATTAATAGATTTCTTGATGAAAATGGAGACACATATACTAAGCTTGTTTTCTAAAACAAACTTAATCTCCATTTATTAAAAAGTATTGCATGTATGATTTAAATATATCTTTATTTAAAAGAAACCCTCACAGCTATTGAAATGCTGCATTTTCCACAGTTTTATAACTTTATTTTACATTTACAAAAAAACATTTATCCATTAATTCTATACACAGAAAACTTATCAAGGAAAATTTCATATTTAGGTTATAATGGCACATATTCATCCTATGTATTGAGACTTATCTAACATGGTTATATTTCTTTGTTAATGCATCATATTTCCTTTCACAAAATAAGGCATGTGGAGATTTAAAACATCTGACATGTCACCAGAGATAACTGTGTTACTCAGCTTTTTGTCCTTATGACAAAAATACTTGACAACTTAGAGGAGAAAAAATTATTTTGACCAGGACAACTTAGATGAGGAAAAAATTATTTTGTCTCTTGGTTTTAGAGATTCAGCACATGGTGGGCCCATTTCTCTGGGCCCAAGACAAGGCAGAACATGGCAGAAGGGCATGGTGGAAGACTGCTTTTCTGTTCATGGCAGCCAAGAAGCAGGAAAAGGAAGGGGAGGGGCCATAGAGAAATGCACCCTTCCAGGGCACACCCCCAATGAACCACTTCCTCCAGCCAAGCTCCACCTACCTACAGTTACCACCTAGTTAGTTCATTCAAACTAGGATGGACTGATTATGTATGGTTCTCATAATCTGATCATTTCATCTTTGAATATTTGTGCATTAACACAGGAGCACTGTGGGGGACACCTCATATTCAAACCATAATAGTATCCTTTAAATTTCCATCAAGTTTGATGTTTAACATTTCTGAGATTTTTTTTTTTTTGCTAACTCTTTTGGACTATAATATTATGAATCCATAAAAGTCCCAGGAAAAAAAATGCAATTTTGGTTTTATGATAATTAGTTTTGAACCATAAAGTTTACCTTCAGAAAGTATTTTATTATCTTATGAGTCCATTATGGTATAAAATCGATATTTCAGCTACTCAGTAGAACATTTCATTTTTTTCTCAAAAAAATTTTTTTTAGAAAAGCTACTATGTGCTTCCAATTTAACATTATTTTCTTTCTTACCATAATCTTGTAAGTAAATAAAATCTTAAAGTTATTAAAACTTAATGGAGAATTAGTAGTTATGATAGATTAATTTACCTTTGTGTTATGCTCATAGAATAGATTTAATAGTCTTGTATGAACTTATGACACATGAAGTAGCATCTCCTTTCCCAAGGGAAGATGTTTGAAATGAATTCTTTACTCTACCTTGGAGGGGGTTAGATAGCCCTCTGCAAAAATTGAGTTTAAGAATTATGATTCTCTGCCCTCAGCTATTCAAAGAAGTTTTCAAGAAGGAAAAGCATTTTAAGTAATAAAAGCATTTGTCACCTGGTTGCCAAAGAGAGGGGGCAGCCTTAAAAGTGATGAAGGAATATTTCTGAGACTGCACGCTTGATATGTTAAAGATGTATGGTAGCTGTGCCTGGGTGCGGCTTCTCAATACATTACTAATGTTAAAATGATAGTGGAAACAGAATGAGTAAGTTTCCAAGCTGCATTAATTTTCTTTTGCTATAAAAATAAAATCCAAAATTTAGCATTTTAAAACAAAAAACATTTATAATCTCACATGCTTTCTGTAAATGAGAAATTCAGGAGAAGCTTAGCTGGGCTGCTCCACCTCAGGACTCTCCAGAGTTTGTAGCCAAGATGTCAGTCAGAGATGCATCATTCAAAGTCTTGACTCGTACCAGATGATGCTTTTGTGGGTGGCTCCATCTCAGGCACCACAAGTTGGTGATTGTGATTGGCCCAGGCCTCTCTTCCTTTCCATAGGGAATTGACACTGTGGTGCTTCCCCTGGAGTGAAAGATCCAAGAAAAAGCAAAGCATAGGCCAAAATGTCTTTTATGACCTAGCTTCAGAAATCATATACCATCATTTTTGGAATATACTCTTGTTTATGTAGATCATCTCTTATTCAAAGTGAGAGAGGACCAGGTGAGTGGATGCATTTCATGAGAGGTTATCAGGGACCAATCTTGGAAAGTGACCAGCACAGAGTATCATAATTCTTAAGGATTGTTAATAAAGCTGTGTCTTGGAAAAATAAGGGGTTTCTCCCTTTCACACATTCCTTCATTTCCCTTTTCCATGCTTCTCAAATTGGCCTTTATTTCTGAGGTCTCTGTGTGCTACCTTTTCTACCCTTTCTTCCTCAAGAATTAAGTAAATATCTGTTGAAGACAAGATTGTGTGTCAGTCACTGTTGGTTCACACCAGTAAGCAGATCATTCCTTTCATAGACCTGACCTATTATATAGCAGCTGGTTTTCATAACAAATGGCCTCTTATCTATAGGAGTTTTTAACTACTAACATTCTGTTAAAATTATTGTATATCTAAAAAGGAAGAAATTCAAGGTAAGGGACTGGCACTACAATTGCCACTGTCCCCTTCAAAATTATTTGTATTTCAATAAAATATTCTGTGATTTATAAGGTAGAACTTTAAAGCTGTAAGGCAAATATTCTGCACAGTAGGGAAACTCCCTCATTTTTAGTTAATGTCACTGTTTTAAATCACCTGTTGGATGACTTTTGTTCAGTGGAAAACATTACCATTAAGCTATCTCAATCAGCATGGTCTTTTGCATAATGTGGAAATGCACGACTGAAGAAAAAGTGGATTCAAACCTAAACAGGAACAAAGCACATAAGTGTTCTTATCTCCATGAACACATAAGGAGACAAAGATTAAAGTTAACTTGTTTTGCCATTTTCTTTCAAAATTGCCACAGTGTGAACTGAATTTCCCCCAGTATAGTAGAAAGACATAGATCATCTTTTAAATGTGTTTATATCATAATCCAGTGTTTCAGAGAATCTGGCATTTATACTTGTGATTAGCTCTAAAATATCCTATGGACCTTTTTATTTATTTTTTCTTTTCGTGTTAAAACTGTTTGGGCCAATAAATCTTTCTGCAAATGTCAGATTGGTCAGCAATGAAGAGGTAAATGGAAACTAATGACACTTATCAAGTTGATGATGTGAATGATTTATTGGACCCAATCATTTAACACTTTCATAAAGTCAATATCGGGGAAAGAGATTGGGCTCTTATTATGGTAAACTGTATTTGTACTGTCAGCATTCAGTGATTTATTACAAACCTGTGGCTAGGATTAGGATATTATAAATGGGGGAAAAATGGAAGGCTCATTAATTTTTTATACCCACAGGTGGAAGACATGCAGTGGGCTAATAGAGAACACACTCAGCCAGCATCTGTCTGCAGCCTGCCCTGCAAGCCTGGGGAAAGGAAGAAAACCGTCAAAGGGGTCCCTTGCTGCTGGCACTGTGAGCGCTGTGAAGGTTACAACTACCAGGTAGATGAGCTCTCCTGTGAACTTTGCCCTTTGGATCAGAGACCAAACATCAACCGTACAGGCTGCCAGCGTATCCCCATCATCAAACTGGAGTGGCATTCTCCCTGGGCCGTGGTGCCTGTGTTTGTTGCAATACTGGGGATCATCGCCACCACCTTTGTGATTGTGACCTTTGTCCGCTATAATGACACACCTATTGTGAGGGCTTCAGGACGAGAACTTAGTTATGTGCTCCTAACAGGGATTTTTCTCTGTTATTCCATCACCTTTTTAATGATTGCAGCACCAGATACAATTATATGCTCCTTCCGACGGATCTTCTTGGGACTTGGTATGTGTTTCAGCTATGCAGCCCTTCTGACCAAAACAAACCGTATCCACCGAATATTTGAGCAGGGGAAGAAATCTGTCACAGCACCCAAGTTTATTAGTCCAGCATCCCAGCTGGTGATCACCTTCAGCCTCATCTCCATACAGCTCCTTGGGGTGTTTGTCTGGTTTGTTGTGGACCCACCACACACCATCATCGACTATGGAGAACAACGGACACTGGATCCGGAAAACGCCCGAGGAGTGCTCAAGTGTGACATTTCTGATCTCTCGCTCATTTGTTCCCTTGGATACAGTATCCTCTTGATGGTCACTTGTACTGTTTATGCCATTAAGACGAGAGGTGTTCCAGAGACTTTCAATGAAGCCAAACCAATTGGATTTACCATGTATACCACCTGCATCATTTGGTTAGCTTTCATTCCCATCTTTTTTGGTACAGCTCAGTCAGCAGAAAAGGTAAGTGGCAGGAAATGCATTTGACAACCCTTTTTCTGGATTTAACTTCTTCATTTAGGATGCTTTTCCTCTTCCTGGTTCATTTACATTCTCTCAAGATGCTTCAGTCTGTGCTATTCTTATTTAGACATATATAGCTCAAGGTCACATTGCTTTGAGTATGTGTTGACTAGAGCTGATTTTCCAAGAAAAACACTCTCTTGTATCCTCCTTGGCAAGGGAGAAGATTGACAGAACACACATCACTTTCCTGGTCTCTTTTAACAGCTTTGTTATCTACTAACATCGAAGTTCTTTTTCCAAATGTTAATTAAAAGTGGGAGGAAAAAAGGGCAGATGTGGCTCACAGGAGTGAGCTGTCCCAGAATATCCTACTGCATGACAAATACCTCCTTCCCTGTTCTACTGTAACTCTGGGGGGTTTCGGGGGAGGGAAGCCATCCCTTCATCATTATGATGATTTTAGTCATGGAAGTAGAGTTTACAATAAAACAGCTAAAACAAAGAAAAACTGAAATGGTTAAGTACAATCTGAACCCTCTTATTATTTCTGAGCCCCTATTCTCATGACCTTTCCATATGTGAAAGATGATAGTGAAGAATAAAGAAGACAGCAATGGAAAATTATATAAAACAGTTTATAACTTTAAGTAATTTCCTTTGTCATTAATCTCCCATTAACTTTTCCTACATAAAACATTGCTAATAAAGAACATCTGCATATGAGAGGGAACATGTGTTGAACTAGATGAATGTAGTTCTATATACAGTAAGACAGAAAAGTAAGGTTAACCCCAAATTATAAGATTTGGGTAGTGGGATAGTAATAAACCAATCTGTTGAACAAAGACCAGTGCCTAAGAGTCAGAACACATATTTTGGTATATGTCAATGGGAATTTATTAGGATCAAACTTGTAAATCTAAATTATGAAAGAATGTGGAAACAAATCTCTCAAAGTCTATTTTTTAATATGATTTATTGGACTAGTCAAAGAAAAATAATGTTTTTCAGCATTTGGAAATGTCTAAGCTGTATGAATTATTAGTAAAGAAAACTTAAGCAGTTCTTATATTTGTATTTTAACTGTTTCTTTGTAGATTGATTTACCTGGAGAGGGCCATGATAAGTTCACTCTGCTTTCTGGTGGACAATAAATATTAGAACTAAACAAAATCTCCTGAGATAACATTTCACTTTTTTTTCTATTTTCTCTTCCTTTATACTTTATGAAGTATAACCTATTCTTATTTTTCATATAATGATATCCATAGATGGAACAGGGCAAACACCAATGCAAATAAGATGTTTTTCTCTATTCAGACAATTCTTTCAGTGTCTCAGGTTTTTTAGACTAAATAAAAACATGCTCCTACAACAAGATGTTGGACATCATCTTAGTAGTTCAAGTATAAATCCTATTAGCAGTTTTTTAAGGTAATAAAAGAATAACTACTTATTTTCTCTCAGAGCATTAAAGTTTCAGAGCTGTAGCTGCCTGCTGAGAATAGTGATGGAGACAAAAATTTGGGGGTGAAAAGGACACCCCAATATGCCAGAGGGTGGAGGGTGCTTTGTGCTGTTATCCTGAGAGATGCACATCCCCTGAAAACCTGTGCATTCTGTTTATTTATGAGTGTGGAATATCCACACCTTTAGAGATAGAATGTGGTTAGCAAAATTTCTTTTTCCATCTAAACTTTGTGGAATAAAGAAAGTCTAAGAGACAAATTAAAAACAAATAATAATATAAGTTTGTTGGAATTCATTTCATATTTTATTTATTATTGAATATGAAACTTGCATTCAAGAGAAGAATTTAGTGGGGAACACTAACTCTTGGAATTTTCAGTTAATTGTAGAGTCCTCCAATTATTTAGCTTTGGAGTTGTTGAATTTAGACCAGCTCTGTATGAAGAACTATAATATTATAAATAACTAAGATCTGGCCTCTAAGGTACTTTATATAATAGAAGTATGTGTTATTATAAAACTTATCTTCAAATTTGCTTCCTGCTCCTTCCTGTCAGTATATATTTTATATTTGAAACCATACATAAAATGTTTGAGTATATTTATTTTTCCACATTGCCAAAACTACTGACATGAATATTAAAAATGAATAAAAGTCTTGTATCTCTAGAAGAAATTTTTAAATCAGTTGTATTGACTTTGGAGAAGCAAAGAGCTAGGCAGCCCTCCGTTTTCATTTATAATGCTCAGCCAATTAGCCCCACATTATCAACCTGAAGCCTTTACAACAGCGAGGCGGCACGCACATCCATTAAGTCAGCAGATCCTTATTGAGCACTGTGTCCAGCATTGTGCTAGTTATTGAATCCATGTCAGTCTGCTTCCCTGAGCCTTCACTGTAAGGCTCAGTCTGGCTCCCAGCCCATGCTTTCCTGACGCCTGCCAGCCCCTGTGAGGTGCCAGGCTCAAGGACAGGGGAAGATGGTGAGAGGTCAGATCTGAGACGAGAAAGCAAAGAACTGTTCATCCTCCAACTTTACATTAGTGATTCAGAATTTACAACATGGGAAATAGCAGAAGAACAAAATTTCTTCCTGTACGTATTTGATTATACTGTACCAGAGTAATGTCTATAGCAGAAAATTCATCTACATGGTCGCTTTGAAATTACAAGAAATGTGAGAAAAAGTAAAATTAGTTGAATAATTTAGACAGATATTTAATAACATCATAATACTTGTCACAGAGTCATGAAGACTGACAGGTCTCTGAAGTGTGCCTTCATTCATTGATAAAACATCATTTATTTTAATTTATTTTTTTTTCAGATTTTTTAAATGGAGATCAATCTTGTTCTTTTCCAGTAGATTTTCATCACATCATATGTGTCTACTGCTGGATTTTACTAAATTGCGTGCAAATGTATTTTCTCTTTGTAGAGAAGTAGTGTAAAGGAAGGGTGGACACATAGAGGCATAGCCATAGATGAATAGAAATGCATGTAATTGTCAGGAAAAGACAAAAATATTAAAAAGTAATTAACTTTATAGTCAGGAAAAGAGTCTTTAGGGATGATTAGGGGCTGTTAGGATGGCAGCAATCTCTTAAAGACATATTTTATCCTCCCTAATTGGGCTCAGAAAATGGAAATAAGCAGAGAAAGGTTATGACACGGCCAAGCTCCAGGGAGCACAGAGCTCTGACCAGAGCATCAAATGGAAACCAAATAAAAACAACCTCAAAATGGAAGAGAAAAATTAAAGCTTAAGAAAGAAAACAATAAATCCTGAACCAGCTTATTTTTCTTTGCCCTCTAGTTCTACAGTGTAGCATCTATCTAGTAGCTCAAGTAAGAAACCCAGGGTTCATTTTCAACTCCTCCCTTTTCTTATTCCCACCCCATTATTTCCTCCTCTCTCTTTTCAGTGTTTTCTGTGTAAATCTGTGTCTATCTGATGTATATCTGAATGCATCCATTGCAACACAAACCCCTTCACACACTACAGCTTCAATAAATGCCTGTGGAAAGAGTGGAGTGCCTTGTACAACAATGGCATAATGTGATACCATAAATGCTTATTTAGGTGAGAATATAACATAATAAGAATCTTCTATATGTATCTTACTGTGATCCTCATTACAATAACTATATTTTTTTCTGAAAAATTTTTCCCATTCCACCAGGGACTACATTCATTTCTTAAAAAAAAAAAAAAAAAAACATTGACACTATCACTGATTCTGAAATATGGCTACTAAACATTTAGGGAGAAGGACAAGAAAGCATCTACAATTCTCAAAGCAAAGGAGAATTGATGTGACTGATATTTTCCCCCTGCCTGCCCTCCCTGCTGCTTCCACTGTCTCTCTCTGTGCAGAGGCAGAGTGCAGGCGTGGTAAGGGAGTGGGTCCAGTGAGGAAGAGCATGAGCTCTGCAGCCTGAGGACTTGGGTTTGATTCCTGGATCTGCTAAGCTAGCTGAGAACACGTAGGCAAGAGGCTATACTTTGGCAGATAGAAGTTAAGATCTCCCAGAGGATGAGGATTAGACTACGGAGCCCTGTAAAGATGTTACCTGCTGCGTGTGCCCAGGCCTTTTTGCAATCTAGAGCAAACTTGAGTTCATATATTCTGGAAAAAGCAGGAAGATGGTGGAGTTAAAAGCAAAAACTCCTTTTGTATCATTATGATATGATTCTTATAGATACCTTATACTAGTTGGCAGAAACTTACACAACCTATGAGTCAGGAAAGGTGCTTAGCACATAATAAGCAGGAATTAATGTTGGGGATTATTACTTAATGTCAGGCTGTTAGCCATGAGGGCGGGAACCTTAATTGGTTTTGCTCACCTAGCAGAATACCAGGTATGAAAGAGGTTCTCAAAAAGAGATTAAATGACTTGGGATATATTTAAATAAGTTGGGAGATCAGATATTTGATTTATCCAGATAATTGTCTCAATTTCTCCAGCCATTTGTTCCATGGCTGTGCAGCTTCCCAACTGGAAGTATGTTCTGGGAAGCTTGCCTGAGAGTATAGATCATGAGATCACAGCAGTGAAAGAGGGCTGTGAGGGAGACAGCCATCTGAAGGATCAGAAAAAAGAGAGGTGCTCTTGAGGCAATATGTAAGTGCCTTCAAATATTTAGCGGCAAGTGTCCTCAGAAAGCAGTTGCTGAAATCTTGATGTTACAGTTCGAAATGTGAGTGAGAAGCCTTAATGAATTGGGAAAGGTAAGTCTGAGATTAGAGATTATTCATAAAACTCCTGCTGTAGGTGTAGCCCAGTTGAGACAAGAAAAACCTGGGGTAAAGAGTCCATATGACAAGGAAAACCACAGAAGAAATTTGCAGGATAGATCAGATCAGAGGTCATTCTCCAGCCACAGCTATTTTCCAAATATTTCTCCTTTCCTTAGGAAGGAGGGAAGAAGAAGCAATGACCAGTGTCCACTTTGCATGTTTGTCATTGATGCTTATGACTGTGTCATGCCATTTGTTGTCAAACTGTAAGCATTTTCATT